GGAACAATGCACTAGACTTTGTTTCCAAGTTTGAAGATGTTTCGCTTCCCTTCCAGGAAGCTTTTTCAATTAAAAATGTCAGAAATAGCGTTGATTTCGAGGCTTTATATAGTAGCCCAACAAAGCCTTGTTGTTGTTTAGAGAACATGCAAACTGAAACAGATGAACGGGTCCACCCCTTTGGAATGGGAGTCGTTTAGCTTCATTTGTTAGCCTGCAATGCCCCATACCTGTCTATGTCGCTGCATGGGGTGTCGTTACAGCGAATTGTTGGCCTGGCTGAATAGGCGAGGTCTTTTGTTCCCCTGTAAAGGGGTTGGGGTTGCGATCATAGCGCTATCATATCATATCAATTTACATCTTTTCAAACTAGGAAACAAAGTTCAGTGGAATATTTTTTTTAACTGTTTTTGAATGACTGTGACTTGGATGACTAAGAATCTTCACCGGCATATGAACCTGAAAGAGTGAAATTTCAAAAAACAAAATTAAAAAATATGAAATATGTAAGAAAATTCAAAACATGAAATCAAAACAATAAAACAATTCTCAAAAAAGGGAGACATTTTATTTTTCAAATTTCTATTATTGTTATTATTATAGAAACAACTACATATGTTTGTTCTAAACAAAACAAAACAAAACAAAATAACTCAAGTTAATGTTGTCAAATACTTGTTTGTAACCATGTGTTTTAAAGGTCCAAAGTGTTATGAAATGTTCGTTTAGTAACGAAAGAAAATCCCAGTGTTCATTGTTATTTATCTCGGATGTGACGTCATTCATCGCTGCGAATTCCGACACAAATCTAATATGCGGTGTGAAAAAAAGCTTTATTAATTTCTTTCCGTGAATGCAACGTATGTCGAATTGAAGGTGGAGATCTGCGAAATTTGTTTATTTGGTCTTTTTTTGACAATTGAATTTAAAAAAAGTGATGTTTAATGCGGAAATATTTTGCAACTTACGGTAAGTAAGACATTTGACAGAGTAAACCCGGGGTTTCTTTAAGAATATTAGTTTAGAGGAATACATTTTTCTCCAGCTTCCAGCCATTGAAACTCCTTAGTGAGTCAGTAGTGTGTCTGATGCCCGCGCGCTGCGGTGATGCTGCCAGGAGGCGGGACTGTAGCTCCGCACTGCGATCTGTCGCTCCAACAGCTGGAAGACGCTCCAGCTGCGAGCCGATGGCCGAGCTCAGCTGCACGCCAACACACACCCACTGAAAGTCGCCCCCGAGTGCGTCAACACCAGAGCACTTTCGGTGGGCTTGTTACTCTGATGTTTAGCGCTGATAATTAATAGAGAAGCACCAGCCGCATGGCCCGATCACTCTTCAACAAGTAGGCTACCAACTCTGAGGAGCGATTCGAGCGGAAATCGTCTGATTACTTCTTGTGCATTCCTATCTGTTGCCGCCACCTCTGATGTAAGGCTGCTCATCCCTCTGCTCAATCCACAACTCTTCCCACTGCAGCCTCTCCTCTTTCAGCATGGGACTCTGCGAACTCTGAAGGTAAGCACTCTATTATATGCATGTTGGTGCAAAACTGAATAAACAGTATCCGTTTTTGTAGGCTACTGTTTTTACTTGGAATTCTATTAAAACCTATAAATAATAAAAAAACAATGTATAGTAACTGGATTATTATTGTTTAGTTTGTCTGACTGCAGCCCTGCAAGTGATCTTCTTATACAGATGTATAAAAGAAAGCTTCGCCTTTCTGAGGGGGAAATGGCTCACAGCTGTTGCAGACAGTGACAACAAATCTACTTGTTGCACAGAGTCAGTGATGGTGGAGTATAAACAGCTGCCCATCAATAAAAGGACCTGATAGCTGTGTGCAGGAATGGCTGCATGCACACATTAACTTTATGGGTTCTGAAAGGCTCCAAGCAACCATAATCTGAATGCCCTGCGGCTGCATTGATAAGACCTATAAACCTGGTTTATGATGATGAGAATATGTAAATGGATTAATGGGTTTGTGCATGCTTATTTTCAGAGTAGAGGGGAGTAACAGAATGGAGAAAGCTCTGTTCCTAAAATTAGACTGAAGGAGGGGAGGATTCTTGATGCTGCTTTGACTGATTATTGAAGGCTGATTGAAGTTGGATCCCAAATCATTTTAAGTGTATTGCTGTTTTAGCAGCTTGCATCAGTTGATAATTAGCTTCACTCTAAGGCAGCTGGCAGCTTTATTAATTGCAACGGATGATGCATACAAAAATGTTAGGAGTTAACCTTACCTATAGCCTCCCTTCAATCATCATGCTTGTTGACTTATGCAGGCTGCAGATGTGCTTTTCTTTGCTGATTTAAGGTGATTTTTCCCAACCACTCTTGGAGCAGCAGGGATTAAAAGGCGTGTTTGAATGCCAACTACAGCCCAGAGATCTTCATCTGTTAGATTGCAGGGATTTTACTTGTAACTGGATGTCTGTGTGGACATTTGAACGGATTACAGTCATGGCAGACTCCCACAATTTTCAGGTTTTACAAGTCAATATGTAATTCAGTTCAAGAGGCTTTAATTTTAGGATTTAAAATCTGGTAATCTGGTAAGTATGGCCTCAGGTCAAAAACATACATTTTGCACTGTAACTGGTTTAGCTGATTCTAAGATATGTATGTAAATTTTGAAAAGATTTTGAGGAAAAGTAAATCTACCTCATAATCTAGAATGTGGTTTCCTTTGGTAGCTGAAACTTAGCCCCTTGAACCCTACGGACCCACCGG